GATGGCTACCAAGCCTTTGGGATTTTCCTTATTAGAGAGTTGTATAGATTTTTCTCCTTTAGTTTACTCAAATCTTTGGTTTTTATTAGTTAGGTAGGTTCCGATTCAACACATTGTAGTTTCATTTTTATACCTGTGATCTTGACTTTTTTACCTAGGGATGAGTACTTAAGTAGGTTAGATTTTGATAAGTTCTCTAGTGGGAATGACACCGATGAAGACTGCACATTGTAGTCGAAATACGTATCTGTCATGGATACCAAAATTAATTAAGTGGAATTAAATGGAAGATAACGTTTTTTGCTGTTTCATTTAAGCATTCCGCTAACAACCCAATTTCATTACTTCCTCTATTAATATTTCAACCTAATGACAAATTAGACCTAGTGACCCATTCGGCTTAATGACATTTGGCTTAATGGCGATCTAGTGGCTATCGGCCTAATAACCCATCACCTAAAACACGTAAGCTAAAAGAGAACTGTAAGTAGCGCACCCCACTTGCATGCAAGATCGTTAGCACGGGCAGACACACCATATAAAGTGCTACTCGAATAGTAGATCGACCGCCCAAATGCAGAAGCTGTAATTATGTAAAAGTATCCTGGATTACTCAATACATTGAATTAAAGTTTTCATTAATTTTCCCGTCTCACAGTGAATCAGTGTTCTCTGCTAGGAAGTTGGATTGAGAGAGTCGAAATATTGTTCACGTTTCGTTAATTATGTCTATTCGTGTATTCGTTGAATTGGTTAACTCATCTTCTGAAGCAGGACAGGACTAATGGGTCAGAGGAATTGCTTCCAGTGACCTGTTAGGAACGGTTTTCAGAATTGGATATTTTAAGGGCACGAAAGTATTGCACTATTCAATTCATTGCTCTATCCAGACGGTTTGCACCCAACAGTAGAAGAAGAGTCAGAACCAAGAAGGCTATTGGGTCACTCACTAACAGGCGACTCACACCGCTTGCCTTCGCTCACAGAGCATGTAATTGAAGATTTTTTCCATAGAAAATGTACTGAGCGTCATTCAAAACAAGGACTGTGTACCATCACAGGAAAATAAACGAGCTCTACTGTCAGTGACTTGTTTACTTCCCAATCATTCAAACGCTGACGAGGCAGTGAGTGATGAGGCGGCTGGCAGTTCATACTCATATGAAAATCACTCATTGAACCTGACTGTTTTGCGCACTGCAGAGTCTGTGCACATACCGATTTTGGCACGTAGGGCTGCTATGACTTTGGTCATTTGCTTGGAAGTGGAGTTTGGATATAACTTAGTGTCATTGAATTCGAAGAATTTAAAATACTACGAGAAAAAAGTTTTCAATGCAAAGAATTTAAAGGATTTTCGTCAAAATTCTAACGATTTTTAAGGAAATTGTATATGTGTAGGTGCAACTGAGGAGTTCCATGCAAATGCCAAATGAGACTTGACCTTCTCAGATTTGCATGAAAGTGTGCATAATTATTTGTTATGGGAAATTATTAAAATTTCTGCTAAAATTTGGCCATTTTGAAACTTCCATTTTCTTATTTAATGGTGCATTTGACATTTTTCAATACTTCGTAGCACACGTAGTTCCACACCAAAGGTGCGCTTGGAGAGTAGTTCGAGAACGGTTGTTTGCTTGCTCCGCTGTGTGCTTTTACTTTATTTTATTTTTTAGTTCGGGCTGCTTTGTACTGTTGAGTTTTTCAAGGCTTTTGTGTCCCGGATAGATAGTTTAATTTGCAAAGGTTTGTGCAGATGTCTTCCCCCCTGTTGCTTATGTGCTTGGTGTGCTCGCGCTTCCCTTTATTGTCGGTGTGACTCGACCGCGCTAATCTATTGTTAAGTTTTTGCGATGAGCATTGCTTTTGTGCACAGAGTGATTTGAGGGGGGAAAGAATAAAGTGACCTTGTTTGAGCTTGGCCTGCGGCTGATCAGTGATGGAGGTGCCAGCCAAGAGGAATGCAATGGGGTGGATAGATTTGTAAGGTTGAATATGTCTGATGTCGTGATCGTCTCGAACAAGCAGGTTTGCCTCTTGCTTGATAAGATTTGATACGTACACCCAACCGAGGGATGTAAGATTCGCTTACAATTATGTGGGATTCATCATCAGAGGATGTTAGTGGAGACCGCATGAACCAAGGATGCGATATACCTAGCTGCGGTCCAATGCAAGAAAATTGGAGACCGAAAAATGTAGAGTGTATTAGTGAGGTAAATTAGTTATGTCGAAAAAAATAGGAATCCGATTGCCGACTGGACTCGAACCAAGAACGCTTCGATTATCAGACCTGTGTTTTCTCCACTGCTCTCTCCATGCTCCTGAATATGGATAGCCTAAAAGCAAACATGTAGCGCTCATTTTCTCGCATACTCGACTTCATATGCTTTTTCTGCTGGAGAGATTCGAGGCAAGTGTGTGCGTCGTTCTACAATGTTCTACAATGTGCGTCGTTCTACAAGCTTACTGGTATAGCCAAAAGCGTAGATAGAACACGAAATGAAAATAACAAAAAACCATTACATCGCCTGTAAGGTCAACTTTTAACATTCGCTGCAATGTTCATGAACAGAGGATGATAGGAAACGGAATTAACATTCATTGTAATAGATTTTTGGTTTGCGTGTAGTAGGTGTGTGCTAGTTTTATTTTTTTGTAAATTTTTCAGTCGCGTATCACCCATGAGCTACACTTTGATTGTATTAAGGTTTTATTTATAAAGTCTCATTAACAATGTTTTATTGTATTTTATGATGTACGATATCGATTTTGAACGACCGAGCAAACTGTCGGATAGGTATGGAGTACAAAAGCATTACTTTCGGTAGAATATGACTTTTGATCAACCCAGGTTCAAACACATCTGGATCAACAATAGAAAAGGGCCCATCAGCATTTGTAAACAAACCGTTCCAAAGCCCTTTACTCACAAAGCAAAAGCCATCCACGCAAACCAACACCATCATCGGATAGGGGAAACTTCCACCTACACGATGATGGTTTTTGATTGATTTTCTATTGTTGATCCAGACAAGTTTGAGCCTTGCTGGGGAAAGATATTAAGATCTATCCTAAACCATTATTGTAGAAAATCGTATCAGCTAAAACTCAGGTGTAACGGCACGGAAAAAGTAAGAAGTAAATTAAAATTTGGTGTATGGTTGATCCGGTTTGAAAAACATTGTTAACTGCTTTTGGGTGCGTCGTTTTATTTTAATAGCTTTTTACCTGGGTTTGCTTACTGAGCAGAAAAACGCGGTCCCTGTCCCTTTTATATTAAAGAGATTTATAATAAAATCGCCTTTGTATCGTGTATTTTGCAAAACTTTTGATTGTCGTCGGTGCCGGGTTTGAATGTTTACAACAACTTGAGTAACGGTATGATGTGATATGAGAGGCTCGGTGGCCTTAGAGCAACCGTTTTTGCTTACTGAACAGAACATCATGAGTCTAATCTCAGGCCCATCCACATTCAAGATTCGTCAATCGATTTATTTGATAATGTAACTACATGGTAATAACAGCAACTCGATGATTAAAAAGGAGTTCGTCTGCCTAGTGGCAAACGTTTTTGCTTACTGAGCAGAACACCGTGGGTTCAATCCCAAGTTCCTTCGCGTTATATGAACGTTAGGATATCAATTCAGATTATCGTTTACCAAAACGAATCCTGTGATTCCTCGTGGAAGTGCAGAGGTGTTCTCGGCTTCCATCAAAGCGAGTGTCATTTCAAACCATTCCTACCCCTTCCTTTCTTGGCCTGTGTTTGGGCGCGGCCGCCGCTGGTATTGCTAGTCCCAAGCATAGTCTATTGGTTCTCTGTGTAAGTACAGCTGATCTGGCAATAACAGAGTAGCAACCGTGGGCGGACAATCAAGCTCATGCTCATGCTCATGTGTAGTTCCACACCAAATGACAAATCTGACAAATTCAACCTTCTCCAATTTTCATAAAACTTTGGATAATTGTGTGCTATGGGCAATGATTCACATACATTAAAAAATTCGGCCATTTTGGATGTTGTAAGTTTTTTTTAAATGCCGTCTTTGTAATTTTTCAATAAATTGTATCACGAAAACGACATTTCTGATCGAAATAAGTCTTTCTGTCAAATGCACGTAAGTATAGGCAATTTTCTTAAAAATAGTTAGAATTTTAACAAAAATCCTCTAATTTCTTTGCAATGGAAACTTTTTTCTAGTAATATTTAAATTCTTCGAATTCAGAGATGCTAAGATATATCAAAACTCCACTTCCAAGCAAATGACGAAAGTCGTTGCAGCCCTATAATCAGTTGTTTAAATGATTATGTCGTAAGCTATTGAACGCTAGTTAAAGAAAATTGAAATTATGCAGAAACATATTTATGTTGAGAAAACCTCATCAAAACAATCATTAGGGTCCCTTGGTGAAATATTATCATGATTTCTCCTGATATCACATACCGAAAAATTTCTACAGGACTGCTGAAAACGCAAGGGATTGTGATCAATTTCACCCTGGTAATCAATTTACCCCCGGATTACGGTAAAGTCATGTATTAATATGATAATTCTGGGATGTTAATGGAATTTAGTCAACTTGATATACGTTTCATTTTAGCAGAAAACTTTGATTAACTATCTTTAGCACCCATCTTGGTGTAAACTTCGTAAACACGTTAACAGAACATTTAGCTTAGCAATTGTACTTCTTATGTTATCTTAGTGAATTTATTAGTAAAAAGTGTACATCATCTGAACAAGGTGTATGTATGACTAAAAAACTGCGGTCAAAAACATTAGTTACAAACAAATTATTGAATAAACGTGACATAAGTTATTGAATGCATCCCAATCAATAATATTGCATTTAATGAAAACAAAATTAATGTTATCTGATTAAGTATCTGAAATGATAGTGAGCTGTACTGAATGCTCCAATAGTTAAAATACAGATCACACTATGACTTCCATTCTATAGGAAGTTTATAAATGTATTGAAATCACTATCCAAGCTCACCACAGCCCTACACCTAGCAGTTTCCTATCACTTTCATAAAACTCAATGACCTTCCTGATATCCAACGGATTCAGCTCATACAATCTCGATTTCCTCATCATTTTAGATTGACGTCTTCCCTGTGCAAAAAGAGTGCCATTCCTGGAATGTAACGTTAGCCCACGATTGTCAAATAGTCGTTGCAATGAGCTGACAGTGCCAGGATCCTCAAAGTTCACAATGTATTGGTAATCGATTTGACAGGGTTGGCACATAGTGGAGATTGGGTAGTAAAACTCTCGGTATTCGCTCAATAGAGCGTCATTGGTTTCGTTAAAGAGGAAGCTCACAAAGTCCTTGAAAGCAACTGATTCCTGTTGGAGCTGGAAGAAAGTATTAGTTCAAACTGATTGGAATCAATACATACCTCTTACCACCGACAGTCGCTTGATCAGGTCTGTGTGAAGTCTTCCCATGGGTGAATTGTGCCCGGCATGAATAACATTTTGGTGAAATGTCAACAATCGATGCAATGGATTGATGAGCATGAGAATGTTCACTTGGGACCAATGTTGGGTTTTCAATCCCGCAGAGTTCGTTTTGGGTTGTATCATAAAATTGATTGTATAATCAGTTGGACACAGTGCAAGACTCGCATTCGGGAAGAAAAGCAGCCGTGTCAGGAATTTATTTGGTGGAACATTTTCGCAAATATCGCGGTTGATCGAATAGTAATCACGATTGTTTTCCACGATAGAAGTTTCAGTGGAAGACGTCCTAAGAAGTATAAATATTAACGATATTAAAATTATGATTATAAGAAGGCAAATCCATCGGTGCACAAACGGTTTTCTAAGAGAACAGTAATTTACGACCATCGTTTTTCGAACAAAACAAAAAGACTGTGAAGTGTAGTATCAATGCGTATGACATCCCGCAGCCTTATACAAATAATGAGACACATGTTCGTGCACACTTCGAAACAAAGAATCAATACTTTATCAGATGTGTGCATGTTATGTCCGACTTCTTATCTAAATTTTACGTTCCAACTCGAACATAATGTCGTTTCTCAAATAAGTATATTTTTACATTCTTATATTATGTGAAAAGTACCGATAATTTCATCGACCCAGCCCAGAACCGGAATCCTGTCTCCAGCATGATTTTGTTTCGTAACTGTGCCTATGTAGGTATGCCTAATAGAAGGAGACTAGCCTACAGTGAAATATTTATTTGATATTTGTTTTCGAATAGAGTATGTATGAACTTACTTGTATTGAATTGATTGTGTTTGAAAAATTGAAAAGATAGAACAGCTGTAATTTGGGAGAATATAAGTTCAACTTCTAACGCAATTTTGGATTAATCATAACCCGTACTACACGTTCGAATATTGATTCAAGAATGCCATTTATTTTCCAAATTAGATATAAAGTAACCACTTTCATGGGTTCATCTGAATACATGGAGTAGAGGGTACACCAATATATATGAAGCTCAAAGTTCGGTAGGCCAAAAAGAGCTCGCGTAGCATGCTTCCTTTATCGTCCGATCGCGGGTAGAGCTTGAGGTTGTGCATATTGCGCTATGTTTAAAGTTGAATGTACTTTGGCTATATTATGTTATTTTTATAAACTGTGTTTGCTGAATTAAAAAAAAAACAAAAAGAGTAGTGATGCCAAATATCGCCACAAGGGGTAACATTCGCCCAGTTTGGTGCACAAGTAAAAATAGAGTTTAATGTTCAATATCAATTATAATGACGTAAAATATTTCAATTACTATAAATACAAATTAATTTTAAAATTGTATTATTATTTCAGATGGCGGTCCAAAGGTGCGATCCTGGATAAACGGTTCCACAGATCATCAGTCAACGTTGTCAAGGCCACGTTCAACCGAAGTCATTACCGCCAACGGACATAACGGTACCATTCCAAATGGCCGACCTCATAATGGCATAAATGGCATGAATGGAGGACCCAATGGGGTGGTCACACGAGGGCCTGGTGGATTACACGAGGATTTGGAGTTCCCACCGACGACGAGAACTCTTTCCAAAAAGAAGCAAATTGTGTGGATGAGACCTCATGTAAGTTTTCGTCAAATGTTATGAAATAGTACATTACTAACTGCAACCCCCTTTTAGGACATGTGCGGTCGACCTCAGTTTCGTCTGTCTCCTCCCGGTTCCCCACTGGCTGCCCGAGAGCTTCCGGAACCGGTTGGCCCCGGCGATCCTAGCTTACTGGCAGCCTTAGGCTGTCTATCGCAACTTCCCCGATTGCTGGAACGAGTAGTTCCTCCGGAACAGACATTCGATACCTCCAATGGATACTGCGGAATGTTCAAGTGAGTATACATCATTACATCACACTAATGTCGGTAGCTTTCCTTCACGTACCGACTAATTCTTGTTAGATCGATGGTTATCGTTGTGATTTATGGCTGCTCTAATCGAATATGAACAAGCTTTGCTTCCAGTCAAACTCCACGACTCCTGGAATTTTTATTGGTCACGTAGAACTAACCAGCAAGAATCAACGCAACACACCAAAATCGATCGAATGAAAATCGAACTCAGCGGGAGCGCTCATTAGCGTATGTAAATCCGATCTGACCGCGCGCGAAATTCAAATTTGTCGTGGCGACGATAATTTATGGGAAAATTGCTGTACACTCAATGACCAATGCTCAATTTACTCAATGCTTACTTGTAGCAGCTCTCACTTTTCTCACAACCAGAAGCCATGATCGAAGATACTTTTACATGCAGCTCACGGCTCCTCCGCTCGAATGGGTGTATGAATAACTTTACTGACACCTATTTGTCGCAATTCAATACGCTAATAGCGACAATAAATTCGCACCGGTGTCAATAGGTGAGAGCAAATGCCAATGAAGACGCCTACGACAGACGCCGCAAACTCGCGATCGCTCAGGCCGAGACCGAACAAGCTAATTTCAGTCTAATAGCATCATTTAGTCATGTAGGTACGAGATCAGAGTTCCCCCTAAAATGACATCCAGTCGATCGACAGACAATATCGCGGGTGTGCAGATACTTGGCTTTTGCGAAATCTTTTGTTTATAGGTACATACAAGACTTTCATAATCCGAAGACCATTCATTGATTCTCGAACAAGACGACGACGCTTCTAAATTGCGTCCATAAATTATCGCTATATTTATACGTCCATAAAGTGTTCGATTTTAATGGTTTGTTTTAGTGGCGCATCGAACTGCTAGAGAAAAGACCCCGAGGCGAGGGTGATCGTCACGACACGAACGGTCGTTTACAGAGAGCGGTTGTATGAGCAAGCGCAAAGTGATCTTCACTTTCGATGGTATGCGCCTTTGGGTATGCAATGAACGGTTGTCATTTTTCACTGAATGAGCTTTGAAAGCGAATTTAAGTTTATGTTAGGGTAGTTTATTAAGCGTGTAAATCGATTCTCTTCATAGTCTTACTCATTAAATAATAACTCAGTCGCAAATGCATTCCTTGCTATGTTTGACGTTTTGAGAGTTCTATAGTACTATCTTTTATCAAACTATGTAGTGGAAAAAACATCAAAATTTTATTGTATGACCATAAAGTGTGAATCATCGTCCGTACAGTGTGACCTATAAAATCAGCGATTTCTCGAGATTGATTGGTTAAAAGTAAAACATTGAGATTGGTTAAAAGTAAAGCACATGTATGTATTTCTATAAAAAAAAAATGGAAAAAAAACATTTCCTACGGCCAAATGTAAGAATTTTTGATTGCTGAAAAATTCAGTAATTAAATATTGTGGAATCTATGCAGATTTTCAGTTCAATGTTGTCATTTTGACAAAAGTTGGAATTGTTTGCTGATCTTTCATCAAGTCTAAAATCAGCAAAATGTTGCTGATTTTCAGCGCTTTATATTTGGTGGGTATGCTAGATGCGGGGCATCGCTTCATTTGAAAAGTTTCATGTCAATATCGCATCGTGTATCCTGATCCAATGACTCCAACCTACTAACAACTCTAGGGCATAACAGCCTTTGTAAACAATGACTTCTCTCGTTGATTTCTAGGTATTCAAGGAACGCTTACACAAACCATTATATCAATCGCTGTGGGGAAGTCTTCCCCTACTCGATGGTGATGTTAATTTGTCAGGGAGAGCCATGACTTTCGAGAAATCATCGAGAGAAGTCATTGTTTACAAAAGCTGTTACGCCCTAGTTCCAGCTCTATCTAGAAATTCTCCTATCCTGTGATCTTTGTGGAGACACAGAGGTAAACACAAAACAACAAAGATCACTCTAATATTTCTACCCTACTCCCACCTGATTGCAACGATGTGGCCGGGGCCGTTATTGATCTTTGAAATATGGTTAGCGTTAGCGTTAGCGTTAGCGTTAGCGTTAGCGTTAGCGTTAGCGTTGTTATGATATACTTCGTAGATTGGATACTAGCGACACTCACGTCTCTTCTGAAATTCTCAGTTAGACTACTTTCAGGAATAATGCTGGGGAGTAAACATTGATTCCAATCTAAACAAGAGTAACAGAAGCATGACTGTCGCTATTCCCGTCCACGCCCATCTTTACCATAACTAGGGATAGGGAAGGAAATGTTGATGTAGTACTTACTTAACGAGAGGCCACCGACTTAGCGACACCCTCATAAGTGCTACGGAGTTGGAGGGTTGGGTAGGGTATTCGGTTAGGATTCACCTCAAGTTGGCGATGCAACCAAAAGTATGTATTGTTTATTTGTTGTTTATTTAATCTCTCGATAGCCGGCTATCGAAAGAACATATTCATTTTGTTTAGTGATCATGAATTTTAAGAGTCATGACGGAGAGCTTGGGATTGAACCCATAATTTTCTGCTCAGTAAGCAAAAACGATCCCTCCAAGGTCATCGAGCATCTCATAACCATAACACTTCGCGACAAAACAGGACTACGTTTTCGCTTGATATGTAAATAGTTTCCGAGGTTGACCTCAAGTTGGCGATGCAACCAAAAGTATATATTGTTTATTTGTTGTTCATTTAATCTTTCGATAGCCGACTATCGAAAGAAAATATTCATTTTGTTTAGTGATCATGAATTTAAAGAGTCATGACGGAGAGCTTGGGATTAAACCCATAATTTTCTGCTCAGTAAGCAAAAACGATCCCTTCAAGGTCATCGAGCATCTCAGAACCATAACGCTTCGCGACAATACAGGACTACGTTTACGCATGATATGCAAATAATCTCCGAGGTTAATTTTCAATATCAAATATACAAATGTTGGTGGGGATTTCTTGTGCTGTGGAAGATCTTGGGGTTAAATCCATGATTTTCTGCTCAGTAAGCAAAATCGATCCCTCCAGGGTCATCGAGCATCTCATAATCCACAGGTGCTATACTGCAGAAACATTAATAAAGTTAGTGAGATAATACGATTAAGCGGAAGATTTGGCACCATCAAGCATAATGTCATCAATAAAAAACTAAATTAATATGAATGCTTTAAAAATTACTGCTGTTGTTTGCTCATATAATCAATAGCTGGTTTTCAATTACCTGTAAAACATAAAACTTAAAGCAAAACGACCACTTCTCCCATGACCGAAAAGCGCTAATACGTGTTCAGGGAATTATCTGTGGAAAAGATCCATCAGTTGGTCCATCATTCGAGTATGGTACTTTTTAGGTTTCTAGCATCCTAAAAACTGGTAATTAATTTTTTTTTAATATTAATTAAATGATTTTAATAAAAACGACGCACCACCTTAAACGCTGCGCCGGATCATGCCGTGTATGAGCACCTTAACCTTAAAGGTTAAAACTCTACACACTTATTTACTTCAATGGAATGCCGATCTCTTAATTCTCCTTTCTCTATAATAACTCTCTCTCCTCCACGCGCGAGGCCTCCACCACCACTACCACCACCCGATAAATTAGAAGAGCGAGCGACACGAGAGAAATGAAGAGAGCGAGAATCGTTTCTCAAGTCGTCTCTCCCTCCCATCCAACTTAAAGAGAAATGGCATGGCACGTCCACTTTATCGCGTCTATATTTCTATTTAAAACTAGAGATTGCTGACGTTTATCGTACGCACAATACGTTACGTATACATATACGCAAAATGTTTTCGTCGGGAAAAAAAAAAAAACTTCATAGCGGAAAATTTTCCCGATGAAAACAATCACTGATACAGTCACCAATATCTATATTGAAATTTTTTCCGAAAATTCACGCGCAAAAACTTCCACCCTTCATTGATACGATGAAAAGACGGCCACGAATAAATATCAAAATCCCGATTTCACGACCATCCCCTGCCATAAAAATGAACATCACAACCCTCTCAAGGGCCACCCACATTAGATCCGTTTGCGTTGCGTTGACGTAAATTTGACAGTTAGACAATAGATTTAGCTGTCACTTTTCCGCAATGCGTCCGATCTGGATCTAATGTGCGTGGGCCTTCAGAGCCCCGGCGAAACGTCCAGAAAACCGCGAGTTTACTTTTTCGTTCAGGATGTACGATTCCAATACGCGTGCGAGCGAGACAAAAAAAAACAATCCCGTGAGCCCTGTATACCACTACCACAAAACTTTTACAACGCTCATCTTTTCTCCTTCGCTAAAAAGATCAACAGATCAAAATGTTCTCACACATTTCAACCAAATAACTTCAGAAATATTTATACTGTAGCACAACAATTTGCAAGTTGATCAAATTGAGAAAAAATAAACCCGCGCTTTCATGAATAAATACACCGAATCATTGGAATTTTGGGGTGCTGAAAATCATACGTCGTTATATATATGAAACTTAGCTGATTCCTCGTAGTATTCAGTCCTCAAAAACTTCGATCTAGCAATAATGGCTGCATTTGCGACATTGACGCACACACACATTAACACACGCAATCTGATGAAGGCACTGCGCAACCGAACGAAAAAAACATGGCGGATCGTAAATCTAACTGATGCAAAATACACGAATTATGACCGGAAAGCACTGATTTTCTCAAAAACTTCAGCGTCCTGTGCATTCCTAGGTGCAAAACTATCACTTATCACCAATTTAACTATTTAATTCCGACATTAACACTCAAAATGAGATCAACATCGGATGCACGTGAAACAACAACCGACCGCGAAGCCGTCACCTATCGGATCACTCTTATTGATCTTTGAAATATGGAGTCACTGAAACTTGTACATAGATAATGGACAGTCACTCCCAGCCCAATCAGTTGATTAAGTGTGCAACTGATTCTGATCAATCACAGAGTACTTCTTCTTCTTTTTCGCATATCAAGCTTATTGCTTATCGTATATCAGCTTATTGTGTGCTCTAAACTTAGTGTTCTAAATGCACTTCCACAGCTATTAATTGAGAGATTTCGATGCATGAATTTGTATATTGTGTGGCAAGCACAATGATACTCTATGCCCAGGGAAGACGTGAAAATTTCCAACCCGAAAGATTCTCGCCGACCAGACCTGGAATCGAACCCGCCGCCCCCGGCTTGATAATACCGTGCCTTTACTTACTAAGCTATGAGGCCCACCAATCACAGAGTAGCAACCATTGATATGTGCAGTCAGTCTTACCTAAGCTAAGCTAAAGAAGATTCGGATTGGATTAGATTGAAAATCATATATTTTATAAATAATTTAATCTCTAGAAGTATTGTGACTTTTAAGCTTCTCCAACATCTTCTCTAAAAACACATTATTTTCCAACAACCGATCAACAAGACTATCAATTTGCGATTTATTAACACCCGGATTGATCAAAGCATCAATTGCTACGGTAACATCCAATGTACTGCTCTCCGTCTGTTCGGTTGACCCTAGAGTTGTAGTCGACGCAATGGTAGTTGTGGTTGTAGTAGTAGTAGTAGTACTAGATAAAGGATAAGGCCCGGGAACAAGCATCGCATCCTCCCTGGTTTTCTTTGGTAGCAACGCTGGGTTTTTGAACTTCACCCCATACGGGTGAAGTGAGTATATCAGGTAATCCATCACATACATCTGCAGACCTTGAATGTAGTGAAAGCTGATGGCAAGATCAGAGCAGCAGTTTCTACCGTAGTACGGCTCGTAGAACGAGTAATGTTTGTACCAAAAGTCTGGATCATCTGATGGATTGGTAGTTAGATGAAACAGTGGTTCCATCGGAAGGAAGCGTTTCCGTCCCAAGAGATCTCGTGAATCCCCAGCCGTCACATTGACACTTTCCATGCATCTTCCTGGAATTATTGATCAATTTATCTATCGTGGTGATGATTTTAAATTTACCCACTTACCCATTTCCAAATCTTCCGTATCGTACGCTGTTGAGCACGTTTCTGTGTTATTCAATGCTTGTTCCACGAATCGTTTCAAAGCCTCCCGACTGAGCACGTATCCTGCTCCTCCAGAAAAGTACCCCTGATTGACGTACTCCGGGTACCGGAACTTACTACCGAAGAAAATTGGAAAACCTGGCGAATATGGATACAAGAAATATCGCAAGTTTTCCATGATGACGTATCTGAAAACAAACATTAATTACTCCTCTTTAAAATAAAGCTCAACCTCACCCCAGTAACTCACGTATCATCATCGGCTTTCATGAACCAATCGTACTCGTTCAGGTGATGATCGTAAACGTACCGGAACGCTTCCCTTGTTTTATTCCATAGCGATTCTCTTCCCTCACCAACGGGTAGGGCAATTGTTCCAATCTTCTCGTCCTCGGTGGAGCTCATCAGCAGCAGCTTATTGCACCGGCGTCCCCAAGTTTGCTTTACGTGGATTGCTTTGGTATCGTGATTGACCGGGGTGGTCATGACCCAACAGAGCACACGAATGTCCTCGGATAGGTCGGCTGGGTGCAGGAGCTCATCGTAGGGTCCCAATTTGTATTGGGTTCCATTTTCGCCCGTCTGAAGCACTGACAGAATGGTGAACATACACGCCACGATTATGCCGAACAAGAAGGCAAAGTGTTTGCGTGATATGGGTGGTTTTTCTGCGGGTTCAAATGTAATGTAAAAAAAAAACTTATCAGCTGTAATTTGTTTTGTTTTCAAGTTGTAAATATACCCGGTTTTTTACACGGTTGTATTTTTCCTCCCACGGTATTTAAATGACATCAACATTGAATGCATCTGGTTTCAAAAGATCACAATGCATTAAAAGAAAAATATTGTGCCCACACAAAGTTACTAAATTCAATACAGAATAAGAACTTTAATGGAATGTAACTGGATGTATATTAATAACCAAATTCATATATTACAAAATAAAATAAGACTATGTATTCAAAAATATAAATACCTATACAAGCTATACAAGGCATCAATTCAAGGACTTTTAAGAAGTTCAGGAAACATCGTAGAAAGTAAAAAAAATTAAGAAGAAATTCTGGGAGCTTCATAGATCTTCAGAAAAATACGTAAGCAACGAGAATCTTGGAAAAGTTCTGAAAACTGCGTTGAAAATTTATTAAAGTTTGAGGAGCTTCATTTTTTCAGGGAAGCTCATTATTTTTTGAAGCCTCATGGATTTAGAAAATTTGTGGAAATTACGTACCAATTTTAGGAATTTCGTTCGTGTAACTTTGCGGAAAAACAATGAGAAACGTAGAAGTGCAGCAAAGTTTGTAGAAGTTTTGTAAATTTCGTAGAATTTTGAGGAGCTGCGTAAAACTCCATAATGTAAAGAATTTTGAAAATTTCAGGGGATTTTGTAGAAGATCTAAAAATAGTTCAATAAACTTCTAAGAACTTTAAGGATCGTTCGGAGATAAACCAGCCTGCCGCTAAAAATCTCCATGTAGAGAAAAAAAACTTTAGGGATACCCGCTTCAGTTTAGGGAACTTCATTGCAGTTTTTGAAAACCCTAGTATCACGCTTGTCACATATCGGTTGTAGAAACTTCTTTACGACTTACTTCAGTCATAAACAAGTTGCTGCAACTTTTCTTAACGGAAGTGTGCTACTAGGGAATGTACCCTATAAAAGTTATTTTTGCATATTGGTCATTCCAGCTCAACTGGGTACACCACCTTTGGTCGATGTCACGGATTTGAGCCAAACTTGGCCAAAACGCTTATTCAGGAATTCTGAACAAATGACTTTTTTGATTTTGTTCTAAAATGCCTAGATCCTTCTGAGCCCTGTATTTTTGAGATTTAAAAAAATTTCAACTTCAGTGTTCACTCAGCTGTTGACAAAAGCAGGCCACTCTCGATGTGTGCCACGCGATCGTCTGATTTCTCGGCAGCCACCATTGTGTGGTCCTCCTCATTGTTCTTCATCAGCAGTTCTTTCGGTCGATGCGTCGTCGACTTTGGAAAGCAACCGTTTATTGATGAGTGTGTGAGTGCTGACCACGTTTTGCGTTCATTGCTGCAATGGATGCGCTCTGACCCCCGATGGCGTAACTGCCATTCAATGAAACCAATGAAACCACTTTTTGGATAGCGGAAGATAAAGTGTTTATTGTGTTGTACTATATTTTTAAGATGTATTGTATAGTGACCAATAATCCTCGGCTTTGTAAAGTTAAAAAAATTCAACTTTCAGAAGAGATTGCTCCAAAACCAAAAAAGCTATTCGTGATCTTAGAACGTCAATTTTAAGATTTTGGATGCGCTCTGACCCCCGATGGCGTAACTGCCATTCAATGAAACCAATGAAACCACTTTTTGGATAGCGGAAGATAAAGTGTTTATTGTGTTGTACTATATTTTTAAGATGTATTGTATAGTGACCAATAATCCTCGGCTTTGTAAAGTTAAAAAAATTCAACTTTCAGAAGAGATTGCTCCAAAACCAAAAAAGCTATTCGTGATCTTAGAACGTCAATTTTAAGATTTTTTGATGTTAATTCTTATAGGTGTACCCACATTTTCTTTTTGTTATAGTAAGTACAGTAAACAGGCTGATTACCGGCAGTTATCCAAAATGTCAAAAAATGCCTTTTTTTCACCATGGGCGGGATTTTTTATTTCTTAATATTTTGGGCTCAAATTTTCACCACAGTTTGGAAAACTCTTGTACTTGATGTGTTTCCAAGGTTAAATGATTTGGACAAATAGTTTTTGGGATATGGAATGGCCAGTGGAATGCCCACAATTAAATTATGGACAGAAGTAAATAAATGAGGTAGTTATGATTTCATATAATGAGAATCCAGCCCAGAACATGTGAAAAATAACATAAAATTATTATTGTGCCATCGGTGTGAAGGAATGCAAGAAAAAATAAATAAAAAATATTAAATAGCATTGATTTTCCACCAGAAAAGCTCAAAACTACCACTCACTCATCTGGTCATATCTCAAAAATTATCAGTCCATTTCATTTACCAAAGTGTGGTGAAAATTTGAGCCCAAAATATTAAGAAATAAAAAATCCCGCCCATGGTGAAAGTAAGGCATTTTTTTACATACTCGATACTCACCCACTGTGTCATGCTTTCCCCATACTTATTAAACGAGCTGTCATAAATTCTACAACCCCCTCCCCTCTCAAGACTTTTTTTTACTTTATTAAGGAGATTTTCAGCCGACTGGATAGTTCATCTCCACTTCCTTAAGAGTGGAAGTCAAATTTGAATGTCCCCGAATGATGAATTACAAAAAGTTCGAATTCTGGCTCAGCAGACTTACAAGGTATTAAATGAGCTTCAATTATTATAAATATATAATATATATTATATATATAATATATAAAATATATAAACCTTGAAAATTGATCCACTACATATCTATTTAGATTTACTGTCCTGAACAGGCAGAACAGTTAACCTGAGTAGCTACGCAGTAATGTAGTATTTTTTTCTTTATTATCGTGATTTTTAGCCGTAGGCTAGTTCATCACGTAGTAATGTAGCAATTTTCCAAGGTTTATTGATCAATTTAAAAAAGGGTCCTAAACATGAAAAACATATGTATATCCCATAGACTATAATTGGAACACACCATAATAAGAACGTCTACCAATAACTGGAACACCTACGCTAGGTATGATCCATAAAATTAACATTTATTTTTTTATATTTTCTTAAGAAGATTATTATAGAAGCTTCTTTCGGAAGCTAATTCTAGACGCTTGACCATCGCTCCGCACCTCTTCCCTAAAAAAACACGGCAGGACAGTTAATCTAAGTTGTTACGCAGTAGTGGAGCAATTTTTCATGGTTTAATAATATAGTGTCCAAAACGTGAATAATATACGTCTAATTTATGGATCATGGCTGTTCGGAATATCGGGATAACCCTGTACAGCCAAGCCCAGCGACAACCCTGTGGGAGATTCGGAGAGCTACGGTAACGGTGAGAAACTATGAGAAACGACAGACGTCAGGTTTGGTTCATCGGAACTGTGAGTTTAGATAGTTTAGATAGGAAAAGAAGGTACAATTCCAAACCATCTAGAACACGTTTTACAGAACATCGGTAAATTAAATTGTAGTGATTTGTAGTGAACTAGCTACTGAAGTAGGTTAGTTGGAGGTGGAATTCGTGAAAATATTGAATGTAACAACCCTATACTGGTTTAATCTAGATACTACATTTTGATCCTAAAATATGGTAACCTAAAATTTGTTCCTAAACGCTATATACTTGATTTACCCTAAGTAACCAGTAAGTAGCTTATTCTACATCGTTTGCGTGCTTAACTAAAATAATAGTTGAATCCCTTAATCCTAAATATAGTCAAATCTTTGTTGAAAGAGTGACAGAAGATAACTCTCGGTTTGAAAAACTCCCGCTCGCATTTCATGGAGGAATTTCTCTTCCTCCAGCGTTTTCTCCTTTGCGCTTTTCTCCTACTGCTGGATTCCTAATGGCTACCTCATTGGTACTTCCTTTTCCATATTCGGATCCGGCATCACTCCTCGCACTATTCTTTCTGCTGGGTGGTCTTTTGGGACAGAATTCTTGATTCCTTTCGGAACCTTCAGCATATTTGTGCACTAAGAGCACGTCTACGGGACCTCCTTTACAGCTGTTGCCCTACCAGCACAACTATAATGGGTCCAGAAATCGCAGACATCACACTGGACCATATCATCTACGTGTTCATGGCCTTCACAAAGCGTACAGTTTCGATCGCTGTTTTGTTCTTCACTCAACGGTGGTGTTGATCCCTCTGACATTTTGAGGTTATATCCAATGTTGTTCTTCAATAATGTTCGGATTAATGAAAGCAACTTCCTCAGAGCAGGCTCGTTTTGGACAGCTTGCCATTATGAAATACCTGAAATAGGTTTTATTATGAGCATGCAGATTGGTGTAGATTTTATATTAGTTTAATAAAACCTATTTCAGCTACAAGCTGTCCAAAACGAGACTGCTCTGAGGAAATTGCTTTCATTAATCCGAACATGGCTATATTTTTAAGTGCACAAACTTGATTTTCTATGGATCACTTTCTTTAGTTTAAGGTTCACTGCTGAATGTGTTATGGGTCAATTACAATATGTTTATGGGTAATTCTTACAATTTCAATGCGCATTCTTTAGAAATTTAGCGGTATATTTTTACAATTGTGTTGCTAAATTTTACATAATATATGGATCATATTGATATTTTTTATGGATCATTCACCCTTTTTTAAGGATTTTCTCCGATGTTTTATTGATCATTTGGATGTTTTTTATGGAATGATTTCCAATATTCAATGGATCATTTACTGATTGGTAATTTTTTCCTCGATCTGTTTTCCGCCGATCTTGTTTTCCATACTGAGTACTAATGCTACCGACGCCATGGAGACAATTCTTACTTTTCTGAAATAGACACTTATAAATTAATCAAATTTATGCGATTTGTGCATAGCAATCGACTAGAAAATATGCAAAATTTGTACTAATGTATGTTTTCTACAGATTTTCGATATTGGACAAAGTCTCTCTGTTTACAAAAGGCTTCTGGTTTCTGATAAGTTTATATTATATATACGCCACCTAGGTGACTCTCGTTTCTAGAGCATTCTAGAAAGATGTGTTTGTCGGCA